CACAGCAAATGCTTTTTTAACCTTTAACCCCTGCTAATCAGTCCTGGTGATTAAAGTGAAACTTGGAGATAAGTCGAATAATTTATACTGTAAACTCCAGTGTGATTTAAAAAAAACCCTCAAAAACTAAAGTTAAAATTACTTCAGTGGAGTTTTGCTACTGTGCAAAAGTCTTGAGCCACCACTTAGTGCTCCGAGGAAAATAAGAAAAAGGTGCAGCGATGTATCGAAACGTGCAATCATGCATAGAAACACAGTGTGTAAGAGAAAACATTTACCAAATAAATGCATTTGGTATTTTTCAGCACAGCCTGAACTCTCAGGCAGCTTTCTGTGATTTAAGTATCTGTTCTCCAGATTCTTGAAGGACATTCAAAGCTCTCTGGATGTTTCTGCTCTCTGTCAGGACGCTCCCACGCTGCTTCAGTCACGTTGAGGTCCGGTCTGATCCATGACTGATGCTGTTTGTGTGTTTTTCTATCCAGGTACGTTTTTACTGCATTGGCAGTGTGTTTGAGATCATTGCATGGTGGAACAAAACGGGATGTCCAACACCACGTGCTGAAATGCAGCTCCCAACAATGGCAGAGCCTCCGCCATGTTTTCCAGACTGCTGCAGACTCACTGCTGTAGCTCTCTGCTGACTTCGTCCACAAACACTGGACATGATTAGAACGAGACATTTCAAATCCAGATTCGTCTGTAACACCTGTTTTGCTGATTTTCAGTCCAGTTCTTGTGTAATTTTTATACGTCAGCCTTTTCTTTCTGTTTCCCTTCGTAAGAATGGCGTCTCGACAGCCGCCCTTCCACTGAGACCATCTCTGATGAGGCTTCAGCGAGCAGTAGATGGATCAGCTGACGGTACAGATGCATCTCTCTTTGCTCTTTTCCTTTTTCTCGTTTCTTAATGTCTTTCACATGCTGTTCATCTGCTGTAGATATTTTTTGTCCTCCACTTGTTCAGTTTTAAGGATACACTGCACCACATGCCAAAATATGCCAAGTTTTTGGCTAATAGCTCTCTTTGGGAATCACTTTGCTGCTGTTATTCCTGTCAAACTTTTACCTTTAGCATTTTTAATACATTCATCTAAAGAAATGAGAACAGGCTGTGCTTTTGTGACAGGCTGCTAGTAACAAAATGCAAAGATACAATTTGAAGATGGATCTTTGCTGTGTAGACACAACACTGGTTCTCCCTTCAGCTGCGTACTTTTTATATCCGAATGGTTAATAGGTCAGTGTTTAAAACCAGTAAACCAGTGAAAATGGTCAGGTACAAGGGCTGGACTGAAAATGAGTGAAAACACAGCCAGTGAAGAACTTTGAAAGACCCTCAGAGAGCTGGAGAACTTTTGACGAGCACTTCAAAAAACTATTACACTAAAATCTGGCTCATTTGAAATAAAACAAAGAAATTAGGGGTGGCTCAAGATTTTCGCACAGTCCTGCCATACCAATCACCTGAATCAAACTAAACAGGACGTTTTCTGTTGATGCACAGACAGACAACCGACCAGAGATCCAGTGTCATGCCTCCAAACAAAACCCCAGTATATATATATTTATACACATGAATGCAAATAAGTATGCAGGCATGCAGTCACTTTGACATAAACAGCGCCCACTGCTAACACTGCTCCTCGACTCTCACGCTCCTTTAACAGCCCAGACATTGTTTTACATCCTTCAAAGAGAGGGGTGCAGGCCCTCTCTCCCTCTGTCTCTGTAATCCTGTGGCTTATAATCCCTCTCTCTGAGCGCTCAGCCAGGTCGACTTGGTTTCCCTCTCTGTTTAGATGACACGGGTGTGGCTAGAAACAAATGAACAGGAATTTCTCCTCCTACTTTTTATTTATTCTCTAAAGAGTTCAGCCGTCTGTGTCTCTGGGATATTTAGGTCAACCTGCATGGAGCCATGACCCGCTGTCCTGCTTTCAAGCTCCCCCACACCGTTTACAGTCTCACAAATATATGTGTGCTGCAGCGGGGCTCCTGTGACACTTTAGCAGTCAAAAATCAATGCTTTTTAAGATCTGTGTGCAATTAAATGAAGCCTACAGTGTGTCAAAAATAGGCCTTATAGTTCAGCTTTTATAAACAAGCTCTAACTACAAGTTGGGTATGCAATTATCCAATCAACAAAGGCATGCTTCTCTTTGCCACACATGACAGTTGAGTCAATCTCTTGTGAATTTTTGGACTATTAAGCTGTTTTACTGTCTAAGCACAAGTATTTTAGCCACAGACGCAGGGTGTTTCTCACTTTTTCTCATTATTATACAAGATTTCCTCCACAGGGAATACTTCCGCCTTACCCACAACAACTTTTTGTGCATTGTTGAGACATCCTAAAAGTGTGCATCTCCACTCATGCTCTACTTGTGCAATAGTCTTTGCTTCAATACACATCAGGGAGCAGGGCTGTAAACACTTATCTAATGCTGCCCTAGACAGAGAAAGAAAACACTGAATTTGTATCACGATGGTTATAGTGTGTACTGTGTACTACATACTGTATCGTGAACGGGAAATTAAGCTGTTGAGGCTGTAAATAGGTCATTTTTCATGACCTTAGTTCGGATTTTAGCTTCATGCTAAACAAGCACAAGTTTCCAAGAAGAAACTAGAAGATGCAACCTTTCAAATGAAGTCTCATTTGGGTGAAGAGTCAATAAAATGTTTGGATGCTAAGAGGTTAAAATACCGTATGCCAACAATAAAAACAATAAAGATGACACATTGCATGTCAGAGGCCACAAACATATCCTCTACATCAAAAGTGTTCTGAATATATATTAAAATCAACCTCAGTGTTGCATTTAAATGCCCCAAAATGTGTGGATTTGAATGTAAAGTTGATAAAGCCCAGCTAGAAGGTCCCTAAAGAGGCCTGAGGCAGCTCCTCTGAGCAAGCTGCACATGCAACAGGAAAGCTATGACAGGCACTCAAGTGCAAACCCACGCTATTATTATTATTAACAGCGCAGGAGGCATCAGACATGTCGTGGCTCGCTTCTGTTACTTCCGTATTTTGCAGTTATTTTCTAGATAAACTCCCGCCCACCACCAACTGCAGGGGCTTCTCCAGTCTTTTTAAAAGTGCTCGAGAATGCATAAAATGTGTGACTGCATAGCTCACTCTGCGTGGTTTCTCATGCTCTGGAGCTCCAACAGTTGAGTTGAGCCGAACTCTGCTGGAAAAACTCCCATTTTTAAGTTTGTGCTGGTGTCGGCAAACAATAATAAGTCATAACAAAACAGTACATTGTTTTTTATTATAAATAAGTTGTTTAAAATAATTCGGCATGAAAACTATTTAAAAGTAATAACACTCTTGACTGAAAGTCTATCCTAAAGGACAGTACGTGCTGTTCGTGTAAGTGAAAGAGGACGGCGATAATACGATAATGACAGAAGAATTTAAAATATAGAGCTGCTCTTGTCGTCTTTAAAAAATCAAGAATACATAAAATGTTTAATAAGGTAAGTCACGCCGCATAATTTCTCACATTTTTGGTCCTGGGATGTCTTTTAAAGTCGGGTTGAGCCGAACTCCGTTAGAAAATCACCAGTTTTCCAAGTTTACGCGAGTGGCAGCAAAAACGATCAATTATAGTAAAATATTATTTACTTTGAAAAGATTTACAACGTGTTAAAAAAAATCGGCATGGAATATTTTTAGCAGGTAGCAACTTTTTCCATTAAAACCCAAACTTAATGGATGCTTCGTGCTGCTTGTCAGGCTGAATTTAAGAGGATGAGGAGAGCGTTCGACCAACTGCCGAGAAAGTTGTAAAGTATGAGGCGTAAACTGGTAATAAAGAGGTGATGAAGAGGGACGACAAAGAGTAGATATACACGAGTTGGTGTTGAGACTAGTTTGTCGTCAGCTTCTCAGAATAAGGTCGGAAACCTGAGAAAAAGTTGAAGCTTGCTTGTTGTGGAAAAAAGACAATGAAATCGGAGCACGCTTGAGAGAACAAACACAACACACACATTAATCACGACAACAAGACAACCGACACATCGACTAAATCAACAGCCCTTCTTAACATGCGGCGGTAAAAATCCCAGCCGTACCTGTTTTAGTGCTTTCTGGTGGCCATTTCTTCCCGAGAGTTATGAATCAGCTCGAAGCCGCCGCCACACCGATATGCCCAAGTTTTCACTCAAGTCCAAAAATGACACTTCCGAGGCTTTAAGGGCAGCAGCCAATCACAGAGGAAGTCGCTTCGAACGACAAGACAATCAACCAATAGGAGTAAGATATTCTCTCTTTTCCCCACCCTAATCAGACTAACCTTCTAATCGAAGTGGAACTGATGGAAGTTAAGCGACCGACTGTATATGGAATGCCCCTTAGGCCAAAACTAAACTGACTAAATACATCAATAAATAAACTGTATATTTTATAAATAGTTATGTATACAATTTAGCCTTTTCCTACATTAAAATGTCATATATAT